GAGCAAATTAGATAGATTTGTGGCTGGGATGGCTTAGTCAGGGATGATCCAACCTTGAGCTGGGGCTTGAGTTTAAGTCCCTTCTAGCCCAACTTTCCTTAATCTTGTGATCAGTCAGTAAAAGAAGTAAAACCAACCATCCAGTTAAAAGGTTTGTGACTAGTACAAAATGCATAACTCTTTGCAAGGCTACTTAGCCTAAAGGCTTACGTGCTCCCTGCATACCCCCCAAATCCTGCAGTTCTGGGACAGAAACAAGCATCTACTCCTTTAAAAAGTTGCCAAGGCTCCAGCCACCCTGCAACATGTTCAATTAATGACATGATAAAAGGAGGGATAAGCCACAAAATTATTCCACAAAATATGCATAGTAACTTTGTAGCTTATGCCATTAATCGAACATGTAACCAGGGGCCTCTGTGGCTGGGAGCCCCATCACCTGATTGGGGGCCCCCAGCTAGGGGTCCAGTGCACCCCCGAACCTGAGAGCCTGCATCTGATGTGAATTTCTAGCCATGGAGGTGCTTCAGGTGTCCGTGTAGCTGGGAGTTCTGTCAGCTGATGTCTGGAGCTCCCCCATGGCTGGGAGCCTGCATTAGCAGCAGGATCCCAGTTGTGGGAGTGCATACTGCACTTCTGCATCCGCAATAAGGCATGATGAGATTCATAGATTCATAGATGTTAGGGTTGGAAGGGACCTCAATAGATCATCGAGTCCGACTCCGTGCATAGGGTTCTTCTTAATGTCCAGTCTAAATCTGCTCTCTGCTAGCTTGTGGCCATTATTTCTTGTAACCCCCAGGGGCGCCTTGGTGAATAAAACCTCCCCAATTCCCTTCTGTGCCCCCGTGATGAACTTATAGGCAGCCACAAGGTCGCCTCTCAACCTTCTCTTGCGGAGGCTGAAAAGGTCCAGGTTCTCTAGTCTCTCCTCGTAGGGCTTGGTCTGCAATCCCTTAACCATACGAGTGGCCCTTCTCTGGACCCTCTCCAGGTTATCCGCATCCCTCTTGAAGTGCGGTGCCCAGAATTGCACGCAGTACTCCAACTGCGGTCTGACCAGTGCCCGATAGAGGGGAAGTATCACCTCTTTGGATCTATTCGTCATGCATCTGCTGATGCGTGATAAAGTGCCATTAGCTTTTCTGATGGCTTCGTCACACTGCCGACTCATGTTCATCTTGGAGTCCGCTAGGACTCCAAGATCCCTTTCCACTTCCGTGCCACCCAGCATCATCTGATGCATCATCCCACAATCACACTTCCTGCCATGCACATGTGGCAAGGCAGGGAACACAATTGTGGGGATCATGCATCGGATCCCATTGCACATTTACCTTCATGTCAGGAAGGGCCCTGAGGCTAAGTATAGAGAGTCAAAAAGCCTGAGCCTGAATCAATTCAATCTTCGCAGGTTAGTGTAAACTGTGTAGATTGAACTGATAAGCAAGTGAACAGGCATTCACTTTTGATTCTGAAAATGCAGCCACATGCCTGGAGTGGCCCAGTCTAGAAGCTGGGGGTGGTAGAGCATGCCTCCCTGCTCGGCTGGAGTAAGCAGCTTGGGCCAAGGCTAGCTTGCCCACCTTGCAAGAGGTGGAGGGTTTGCAGGGGATGTGCAAAGCATCCTGGGATGCTGGGGGAATTGAATTAACTTGAATCTGGAGGGGATGTGGGACAAGTTCAATAGACCAATGTCACCTAACTCAGTTAAGTCTGATACTACATCCATCCAGGTTTATCTTAAACCTGTTTTGGCCATTTTGAAAGTGGTTTATGTGCACTGAACTTCTGTTGTGTTACAGATTTGAATGGTTTGTGATCACTTTTAGTGGTTTATGTGTAATTTCTGTCCTCAGCCTAAGTGTCTATCATAAACCTGTCTGGTGGGTACCCTCCAGAGCTCCAAGTTTCTTCTTGCTGTCCTGCTGCTAATCTCAAGGAACACACCAAGGTTTTTCTGGAATAAACTCCTTACCCCTGCAAGCCTTAGCTCCACTGCCCTTTTACATTGTACCCTTTTTATAGAATGGGCTAGCCTGGAATATCGCTGACCCAGAGATTAGTCTTTCCACAGGCAATCAGTAAAGAAACAAAACAGCAAAAGGATGTGTTAGAAGAAAAGAATCATACAAGGAAAATTGGCAATAAGTTTGAAAACAGAATAAAAAGACAAGTAAAGTTTCTTATCCTCTCATGTAGCTATACCCTAGCCCTCCTGAGAGTCTTGTCAATATCTCCAGAACTCAGCAATCCTGATGATTCTTCCAGCTTCGGTTGCTGGGGCTTTGGGAAAAAAATCAAACATGCTGGCCACCTTACAGGTAGCTGTTAAAGTATCTCTAAGCCAGCCCCTGCCCCACATGCCCTGTTCCCCATTAGTGCTTTAAAAGGGCCTGATCCTATGAAAATTGAACCCTTCATTCATAGATTCATAGATGTTAGGGTCGGAAGGGACCTCAATAGATCATCGAGTCTGACCCCCTGCATAGGCAGGAAACAGTGCTAGGTTTAGATGACCCCAGCCAGATGTCCATCTAACCTCCTCTTGAAGACCCCCAGGGTAGGGGAGAGCACCACCTCCCTTGGGAGCCTACCCAAATTTTGGCCACTCTAACTGTGAAGAAGTTCCTCCTAATGTCCAGTCTAAATCTGCTCTCTGCTAGCTTATGGCCGTTATTTCTTGTGGCCCCCAGGGGCAGCTTGGTGAGTAGAGCCTTACCAATTCCCTTCTGCACCCCCATGATGAATTTATAGGCAGCCACAAGGTCTCCTCTCAACCTTCTCTTGCGGAGGCTGAAGAGGTCCAGGTGCCCTAGTCTCTCCTCATAGGGCTTGGCCTGCCTGCAAGCCCTTAACCATATGAGTGGCCCTTCTCTGGACCCTCCCCAGGTTATCCACATCCCTCTTGAGGTGTGGCGTCCAAAACTGCATGCAGTATTCCAACTGTGGTCTGACCAGCGCCCGATAGAGGGGAAGTATCACCTCCTTGGTGTTTGTCATGCATCTGCTGATGCATGATAAAGTGCAGTTAGCTTTTCTGATGACTTCATCACACTGATGACTCATGTTCATTTTGGACTCCACTAGGACTCTAAGATCGCTTTCCGCTCCGTGCTACCGAGCAGGTCATTCCTAGGCAGTAGGTGTGCTGGACATTTTTCCTCCCTAGGTGCAGCACTTTGCATTTCTCCTTGTTAAATTGCATTCTGTTGTTTTCTACCCATTTGTCCAACCTGTCCAGGTCTTCCTGTAGTTGTTCCCTGCCCTCTGGTGTGTCCACTTCTCCCCACAGTTTTGTATCATTTGCAAACTTGGACAGAGTACACTTCACTCCCTCGTCCAAGTCACTGATGAAGACATTGAAGAGTATCGGTCCAAGGACCGAGCCCTGCAGAGCCCCACTGCCCACGTCCTTCCAGGTTGATACCAACCTATCCACCACCACTCTCTGGGTACGACCCTCTAGCCAATTTGCCACCCACCAGACTGTGTAATCATCCAAGTCACAGCCTCTTAACTTGTTCACCAGTATGGGGTGGGATACCATATCGAAGGCCTTCCTGAAATCTAAGTAGATGTCAACCCCTACTCCTGCGTTCAGATGTTTTGTAACCTGGTCGTAAAAAGAGACTAGATTAGTCAGGCATGATCTACTTGCTAAGACCCTGTGAGGGGTTATATGAGGGTTTAGATGAAGGTGCTCTAAAGCAGAGCACTTTCTTTAACTTTTGTCTGTGGGTGGCAGGAGCAGGGCTGTGCTGATGCAACCCAGCCCTTCTCCTGGTGCTGTTTTTTTTGGGGGGGGGGATGGGATACAAGGAGCTCATTTTAGAGGTTGCTCAGCTTGTGCAAGAGGATGGGGTGGGTGGAATGGGGCCCCACCGAGGTGGGAGGGCCTCCAATACACTCATCCCCCTACTTCAGCACAGCTAGGGAAACCCCAGAATGGACCTCCCTCCCCTGCCTTCACCCTCTCCCTTAGACATAATAAGAGCTGGGAAGTAGGAGATGGGGGTAAGGGAAGAGGTTGCAGAGACATAGCCTCTCTCCCTGGATCAGCTCCAAACTGGAGCTCGACCACCCACCCTCCTGACCCAACAGTGAGCAAATATCCAGGTTTTTGCTTTACCTCCACTCCTCCCAGGCATGAGCAGCTTGCATGCTTGTGGCTGGGAGCAGCAGGCAAAGTGATTGGCTGTCGGGGGTCACATGCTCTGCAGGGCGGAGGCTCTGGATTGGGGTGAAGGGCAGTAGCAGGGCTGTGGGGCAGGGGCTGTGGATCGAGAGTGAGAGACACTGGCAGGGCTGTGGAGCAGGGGCTGTGGGTCAGGAGTGAGAGGCACTGGCTGGGCTGTGGGCCAGGGCCTGTAGGTTGCAAGTGGGGCACTGGCAGCTCTGGGGGGCTGGGGCTTAGGAGTGAGGGGCAGAGGCAGGGCACAGGCATATTACTTCCCCACCTCAATCACCTGCCCCTCCTGCTCCCCCCCACTCCCCACTGGTTTCCCTCCCCCCACAGGTGTCTTCTTTTTTGATCCTGGAAATATGGTAACCCTAATACTGCACTTTCTGTGAAGATGATAGTTTACAAAGTAATCATGGGCCTATAGAGTCACAGCAAACAACTGCAACAAACCACTGAGGTGTTCTGGTAGTTTACTGTTAGTTTTATTTTAAAACATGTTGCTTCTGTCCACTGAAGTTGGGGGAGTTTTCTAATGACCATTGCATCACATTCTTATATAGGAAGCAAGAGGTAGTACAAACTTCATTAAAATGAAAACAAAATTATGGGGCTGATTGGAGTCTACTAAGCATTGGGAAATGAATGACAAACTAGCAGGGGCTAAGAAAAAGGTGATGTGATATGGAATGAAGGAAGGACAGTTAATACAAAGTGGAGTCTTGTTGCATGTTGAAGCAAGATTTTGACAAACCTTGGCCAAAATTTTTGTAGAGAGAATAGTAATGAAAGGAGGTTGTGCTTTCTCCCTAACTAGCTTAAAGATGGAGCCGAAGACCAAAGGATTGAAACAACAGCAGCAGCAACATAAGAAGCTACTGGCTGCTATGCTTTCCCAGGACTCCTTTGATTCTGTCCAAAGTACAGCTCCTTCAGTGACAGAGGAAGATATTGACAATGAGGATGATGCAATGGAACTGCTGGGTAATTGAAAAAGTTAATTTTACTTTATTTATTTTTCATCTTTTTTCTTATAAAATGCATAACAAAATCAGTGGCAAGCCTAATTCTGCTTTCTGGTATATAGATGAAAACTTGCAGTAACTGTATAGAAGTTTAATAGAGTTACTACAGTTTTATTTACATCAATGACTTTAAAAACGCATAGAAGAACAGTACAAAGTCTACCTCTAATGGTACATTCTAATTCCATCACTCTCCTGTAAAGGACTTAACAGTGTAGTTCAACTAAAATAATTATTTTAATTTTATGTTTTCCAAACATAAATGTGCTTGAAGCTTCTAATCAGAAAAGGTATTAGAGCTGTCAACAGAGGACACAGTCTACTTCACAGGTTTTTTAACTCACTCTGATCCCCCTCAATGGGAATTTTGTTAGAGGTTAACTAGCTGCTAATCATTGGTAAACATACATTATGGTTTATTCTAATCTGATTTTAATTATAATTATTTAGTAGATTGCATTATGTGTTAAACCTTATTCTAGAAGGCCATCTCCTTAAAAAAAACCTTTTCCATCCTGGAATTCTGATTTACTATCACTTGAGTTAAAGAAAAGGAATAGTTAATTATATGATCTTGCTTTTCACATTTTTTTTCAAGGTCCCAGTTTAAAATGGTCAATGAAAACCACTGACTTGAGTGTTTTCCTAGGTTGTATATTGCAGACTTTTATGTGGGATCAAGATGCAAAGCTCTTACATTTTTGGGAGCAATATAAAAATGATTTTTAAAAGAAAAACTGAGCTACAGTCTAAAGCCCAATATGAAAATAGAAAGACATGTGACACATTATTCTATAGACTGCAACTCGTAATTGATGTGTTATTACACTGTATGTATTGCATTGTAATTTAATGTATAATTCCATGTACAGTAATTTCTAGTTTGATATCACTGTACTATTTTATCAGACAGACAGCAATAATAGCAAGGCTTCATCACCCTTGGACAAGAATGAGCTAGGCAGGAGCTGTTTCACCTATGTCATTCTGTTGCGGGTAGGGCTTTGCATGGAATGGGTTGGTGGCTCCAGAACCAATTTAGGGACTATAAAGAACCTTCTAAAGGCCGAGACAGTCTCCACATACAGCCCTGTTGCTTCTGCATTTTCTTCTTCCGCCTTGCTGGTCTTCCTTTCAAATATATCAGAATGGCTGAAAGGATGCTTGAGTACATTTCCCTACTGCTGTTCAGAGATCCTAAAGCTTCCCTAAAGTTGGGTTCCATGACATCTAAGGAGTATTCCAAATAAACTTGTATGCCTGATGCTTAACAGCTACATTTTGTATTGCCTTGGGGAAGACTCATTTTTAATTTGGGGGGATAAAGGATGGGAATGACATGAAGAGCATGCCCATCCTGGCTGTGCTTCTTCAATACTTTCCCTCTGGATAAGTAAATTCCTTAGCAGGTCTAGGAGTGGAAAGATGTGACATTCTTCCATTTTTTCAGCTTACATGTCAGCCCATTTATGCACAAAGAACCCCTTATTGATGAGGACTCAGTGTAGAGGCTTTTTTGATATTTTTCCTATGCAGGTATTTATTTTCTAGAGCTCTAGAAATGCTTTTAATTCAGGATTCTTCATCTCTTTTTGACTTTGGCATTTAATTAAAATATTTTATTGCTTACTATGCATGTTGTGTATTCAATATTCAGCTTGAAAGCACGAAGTAAAACATACAATGGGGAGACTTCCCTTGGGTTTTAAAAGTTCATATTAGGAAAATTATATATTTTGGTCATAGCCTGTTCCCTCAGACCTCATTTGCTATGCATGGGATCTGATCTTATTAGTTGCTCTGGGAACTGCAGGTGCTCATCTGGTAGAATCAAGTCAATGGATACTGGTGTTTCTATATTTTTTTAAGCAGACTTTTAATTTTCATGTTGCATTTTGCTTACTCTTCAAATTTTAGAACCAGTGTTAATTTCAACATGGCATTGCTACACAATTGCTTAAAAAGTAGATGCTGTGGCAAAATGTCACATTGAAAAATATTTTATTTATTTTCTTTTAAAGTTAACACACAGAACTTAAACTTCTGTCATCAAATACAGGTGTATTACATTGCTGCATTTTTCCAGATCAGTCATTATATGATGGCAGGAGTGAATTGTGATAGTATGCATAGGGTTACTCCATTACCTGTCTTCATACCTTTTACGCATCTTTTACAAGACCTTTCCAAGCAGGGCCTTTCTGTTATCAATGAGTCTCAGCACATTGATATATATAGCTACATGACTTATTCCATTTGCAATTTGCTGTTTGTTGCTTATTCAAGTTTTTCTGACAAAATTCAAAACCCTTATGTTTCAAAGTTTGAACCTTGGAAAACACCTCCATTATTAATAATAGATTATTTCAATCCATCCTCAGCTTATAATGACAGTTTTCAGTAGAAATGGTGCAAGCCTTTTTATTTGCTCAAATTGCTCATGAATCAATGTCAGAAGTTGGCTGGTAGATTTAGCTATTTAAAACATAAACAGTGCTGCAGATAGATTACTCTTTGAGTGCTTCTATCAATGTTATCAATGCAGTGCTATTTAGAATAAAACAATCCTACTGAAGAAGTGTATTAAAATATCAACATTCAGTATCATAGTCCAAGCTAGTTTTTGCTAATTTTTTAGTTCCTCAGCAATACTGTAACATTTTTCAGAGCAAGTTTTATATTTTGACCAAACCTTTTCTTTCCTCCATTTTTACCTGAGGCAAGTTGAAGGGTGCCATTGATGTTTCTGGTTCTGTGCCTTATAGTTGTGATGTGTGAGGATCTAAAACTAAACTATTTGAGGAATATTTAGGAATAAACAGTAGAGCTGTGTGAAGCTTCGGTCCCTGATTCGATTTGGTGGAGATTCAGCCCGATTTAGTGGCTGAATCTCCGAATCCAAATCAAATCAGAGGACCCTTTTATCTCTCTGAATCGAATCGGAACCCTCTGAATCGATTTGGAGAGATTCAGAAAGATTTGGCGATACAGACACAGCTTTAAATGTTTTTTCTACATACCTCTAGGTACCAGGCAGCTCGTGGATGCTGGGGTGCATGGAGTGTCCCACAGAAGTGTGGGGGGCTCCCCAGTGTGCTTGGCAGCAGACCCGGAAGTGGACCAGAAGCACTTCTGGTCCACTTCCAGGTCTGCCAGGGAGTATCCTGGGGGGCCCCCCATGCCCTCCCGGCTCAGCAACTGGTACCTCCTGGGTCTGGAGGGGGCATCCAGGGCCCCCCTCCCCCCCAGCACGCTCCTGGGAGGACTCCCCAGTGGACACGGATGTGGACTGGAAGTACTTCCAGACCACTTCCGGCTTCACCGCTGAGCATGTGGGGGGGCCCCCGCACATTCCTATGGGATGCTCCATCTGTCCCACCATCGCAGTGTTCTCGAGCTGCGCTGGTACCTAGAGGTATGTAGAAAAACATTTAAAGCTGTGTCTATGGCTGAATCGCTGATTCTCTGAATCAGCATTGAATCTTCAGATTTGGATTCAGCCGAATCGAATCAGGGGCAGTGATCTGAATCAGCGAATCGAATCACTGTCCCTGATTCAGAATCAAATAGGGCCCATTTTGCACACCCCTAATAAACAGTTGTCCATGAGTCCAGGGGATTGCAGATTTAATGGCTGAGTCCTAATGGCCTTTTCCAGTCCTGTGTTTTCAAATGTGGCTAATATGCAGGAAGTGAGAACTGTGAGCAGTGATTCTTTCTTGCCCATTACAAAGTTGATGATCAGAACAAAGGACCAGACTTGAATGAGAGTTCAGCTTATTGTTAGCATCTGCACTGGGACTGGGACAGCCTTGATCCTGATGCTGAAAATAGGCTGCTGGGGGAGCAGGTTGCAAAGGCTGCTAGGAGCCTGGCAATCCCTGTGCCTGGGGGTCCTTTCCTATAAAATGCTGGGCTGCAAACACAGTTTTTAAAGGTCTCAGTGCTCTTGGACCACAGGGGTGATCTCAGGATCCTGATGGCTGTCCCAGATAGCCCCAGGTTTCAAGATGACCCCTGATCCTGGGGTCCCCATGCCTTGGGGCATCTAGAAACCACATGTTTAGCTGGGCTGCTTGCACATTTTTTAAAGGTCCCAGTGTGGTGGGACCCTGTGTTGAGGGAGTTCCTTAAACTGGACCTGAGCCTGACAATCAACTGATTGTCAGCACTGGTCCCAACAGACCTGGTCCTGTGGCTGCTTCCATCCCAATCCCCATGATAAAGCTGGGACAGCTTTGAGCCATACTGGGACCTGTATCTGCCTGTACCCGAATCTCAATGCTCAGCTGAGCATTGGGATTGAACATGAGACAGACCCAGCATCCAGGACAAAGCCGCCCCCTTCCCAGTCTTCAGGATCAGGCTGGAGGCAGCTTCACAGTGGTGTAATGTGGATATGAGGAATTTTATGCCCCATCCCATGTCTGGCATGGCAGAATGTACATTTTCTGATGGGGCATAACATTTCTAAGATTCCAATCTTGCCATTATTTTAACATCTGCCAGGGGTCTAATTGTCATTTTACAGATGGGGATAATCATCAGTAGACAGGTTAATTGGTCTTGCTCAAACCTACCCAGGGAGCCAGTTGTTCACTTCCTACTCCTGTATGCAGTCAAGTAAACTGTACTGCTTTTCTATCCTGCCCCCCCAAGCATTAGTGCATGTCACTCAGGTGTATAACTGATACAGTTTATGCCCAGACCAATGTGTGCAAGATCTTCTGTGTGTTAACATCACTGAAATGTATGTGACACAATTATTTTTAAAAGCCAAAATTCAGCAGTGAGAAAAGGTGATGAGATGTGTCCTGGGCACACCAGTACCTCTGCCCATGGAATTGGCTTCTCCTAGAAGCAAAGCTCTTGCCAGCACCAACCCTATTCTGGTCCAACCTTACAGCTGGTTTTCTGGCCTGGTCTTGGTGCACTGCTTCAGGTGCAGTGTATAAAGGGAGTGAGGG